GGGGGGCGATATGCTGGCTCTGTAAACCGCTTAGAGAGGGCTGAAAGCCCTATGAAGCGGTATATAAGTCTAACTGCTATTGCTATTGCTAAGAAAGGGACAGGAAGGGAGGTTATCATTGCTCTGGGTTAAGAGCCTCTAAACATGGCGATTTTCAGATTTGTGGACTTCAATTCCCAGAATTCTCTCACTTGGCAACCATCCTTGGCCTGGCTGGCTGGGGAATTCTGGGAGTTGGAAGTCCTCAAGCCTTAAAGTCACGGAGTTTGGAGCTCCCCCCCCTTTGCTTCGGGTCATCAAATCAGTAGAGCCTGCAGTTTAAAAAAAAAAAGATTCACCCAGATCAATTTTATCTATGTTAGGATCCACTTGGCAACAGGCATATATTTAGGATCGAGGGATTCCCCCGTTTGTAAACTTTCCAGCCAGCTTCCGGCAAGCAAAGTCACGGAGGGAAGGTGGATTCGCTTAACAATGGCAGCGTTCTGCTTAATGACGATGGAAACAAGCGAAATGACGCACAACTTGGCTTAGCAACTTGCCTTTCAACAATTGGGGCTCAATGGTAATCATTAAGCCAAGGATGGACCTTGTACCTCCCTCGGGAGGATGAAGCAACATACCCCAAAGCAGAAGCCTTTGTGAGTCAGAAATAAGTCACACTTCCCCTGACCGACAAGCAAAAATAGCAGGGTCCCTGTTTTTTAGAGCTGCATCACCCCTGATTCACATCTGGCCTGCAGCTGGTGACGTCCAGAATCCCTTCTCTGCGCAAGTGGAGAATTCCCCATGAACTCCGACGCCCTTTTGATGGCCCCCCAACAAAATAAAAATATTTAGGGATGCGGCGGCTCAGGGGCTAAGACGTTGAACTCGTCGATCAGAAAGGTCGGTAGTTCGGTGGTTCGAATCCCTAGCGTCACGTAACGGAGTGAGCTCCCGTTACTTGTCCCAGCTTCTGCCAACCTAGCCGTTCGAAAGCAGGTAAAAAAATGAAGTAGAAAAATAGGAACCACCTTTGGTGGGAAGGGAACAGCGTTCCGTGCGNGCAGGAGTCTTCTCCAGCACCAGAGTTCAAAGGCCTCCGTTCTTTGGCGCTCAGCCTTCCAACCTTCACAGCCATCCATTGCAACGGGGAAAACCACAGCCTTGACTAGACACACTTTTGATTGGCAGGGCGATGTCTCTGCTTTTTAGGATGCCGTCTAGATTCGCCATCGCTTTTCTCCACAGGAAGAAGTGTCTTTTAATTTCTTGGCTGCAGTCCCCATCTGCGGTGATCTTGGAACCCAGGATAATAAAACCTGTCACTACCTCCATTTCTATTTGCCAGGAATTGAGAGGGCCGGAGGCCATGATCTTAGCCCCTACTACCCACTTACAAATGTCCACTATGTGAATGGCCGAAGGTGACTCAAGTCTGATTCTTAAATGTTGAGTTTCAAGCCAACTTTTGCACTCTTCTTCACCCGCGTTAAGACGCTCTTTAATTCCTCTTCAATTTCTGCCATTATTTCAATCCAGAGGCAGTGGGTTTTTTTTACCAATCCATGCCCGGGGTGTAAGCCTCACACATCTGCATTCCACCAGGAAGGATGTGATATGAAACCTCAATGCGGTGCAATTATCTGGCCACAGATCATTTCAATTCCACCGTCTCTTTCTCCAGAAGAGAGCGGATAGCTATTTGTCTGGAATGGTATTGGGGAGGGGGGTGTCTCCTGCTTGAAGAGTGGCTTGGACTAGATGACCTCCAAGGTCCCTTCCAACGCTGTTATTCTATGCTCTTAAGTGGCTAAATCGTTGGCTTTAAATTAAAGATTTTGATGGATTTTTGTCTCTGCTTGGAAACCACTTCTGGACTTTGTGCTTGAGGTGGGGAAAAATATGAAAATCTTGATTTTGGATTCTGCGGATTAGATAGGTATAGAAACGGCTGGTACATATTGCTATGCAAAAGGAAAAAAGTTGAGGTTGCAAGTTATTATTTTACTGCTAAAAAGAGTCAATTTTTTTCATTCCTCTTTTACCCAACACTTTTTTCTCTTCCCTTTTTCCTCTCCTATACTTCCCGTTCTTTTCCCTTCACATTTGATGTTTCGATGATATATATGTGTGTGTGTGTGTGTGTGTGTTGTATTTGTGCTGATAAATAAATAAAGGGAGACTAGTATAGATCTATTTCAAGCTGTTTAGCTCTCATCAGCTAGCCATGCCCTTACTGGGATTCGAACCTGGGCTGTGTTACATCTTAGGCAGATGTGTTAACCATTAAGCCACAAGGCCCTCCTCCTTATCAGCTATATATATATATGTGTGTGTGTGTGTGTGTGTGTGTGTGTAAAAGTAATGCGTTTACAAAAAGGGACACTGAGCAAGCTGAGTCTTCACAAGGAACTCTTCCCTCCAGAAATATGTAAATATAACAACAAAAAGAGGGAATAGAGAGAGGAGTAGAAGGAAAGGTAGGAAGAGGAGAAAGGAAAAAGGAGAGGAAGAAATGGAGGGGAAGTGGGAATAGGAGGGTAGGAAAAGGAAGAAGAGGGGAGAAGGGGAAGAAGAGAAGGGAAAGAAGAGCAGGAAAGAAGAAAGGAGAGAAGAAGGGGAACTAGAGAAGGGAAAGGAGAGCAGGAAAGAAGAAGGGAGAGAAGAAGAGAGGGAAGGAGAAAAGGGGAAAGAAGAAGAGAGTTGTTATAAAATAAGATGGGTGTAAGGGATGGCAGAAAAGCCATCTCGATTATATTTTTAACTATAGGAGGAGGAAAAACTGTATTAAAAATTAAAAGAAAACACTTATTAATGAGAGCTATGAGATTGTGTATCTGTAAATGTATGTTTGAGAAATAAAAAATTTAAAAAAAAAACTTTTTTCAAAAAAACACCCCGAGGAACTCTCCCCTCCTTTTCCCTCTGGGCAGCTCCGGCTTTCCTTCATCTCACGTCACTGGCAAGACAAAACCAAATTTGGGAAGACAGGAAACCAGTTCAAAAAAAACCCTCCCTCCCCAAATGCCTGGGTCATCCACCCTGAATCCTGTCTACCGAGTGGCGAAGAAACGGATTTCAGCCGCGAGAAAAAACTTTTCCCAGCAAAATTTAGCCCCCATAAATCCCACTTTAAAAGTTCTAAAAGTTTTGGGGCAGCTTTAAAAGTTTTTCTAAAACTGGGTGGGTTTTTTTTCTTCCTGGCTGAAGGCAGACAGACGGGGGAGATGAAGGGAAGAAGGATAAAGTGAAAAACAAAGAATTAAGCTAAAAACAAAAGTGCCCACCCCCCCTTGCGCGCTGCATTCCTTAAGGCAAGACGTCAGCTTTCAGCTATGCAATTCTCAATGACATAATTGTCCCCCCCCCTCCTTTCCCAGATGCCCCAGGGAGACCAGCTCTGGGGATTAGGTTGGCTCCAGTGCAAGCCCCCCCCCTCCCCAAATCAGGAGATGGTTGTTTTTTTAACAGATTAACAGAGTTGGAAGGGACCTTGTAGGTCATCTAGTCCAACCCCTGGCTCAAGCAGGAGACCCTACACCATTTCTGACAGAGGACAGTCCAGTCTCTTCTTGAAAGCCTCCAGGGATGAATCTCCCACAACTTCCAAAGGCAACTTCTGTTCCATGGATGGATTGTTTTCACTGTCAGAAAANCTCCAGGACTGGCCCAGGTTCCTCCCCAACCCTCCTCACTGTCCGAATCTGCTGCCAGCTCCGCTGACGGGCTGCAACAGTGAGTTTGATCCTAGATAGAGGCAGATATTTCTCTCTCTGGGCTCAATGAGAATATGTCTGCTGAACAAAGCTCCTCATCGGCAACACGAAGGGCATCCAGCCCTTCAAACCCTCTGCTAGCCCCGTTTAGTAGCCCAGACTCCACCCCGCAAGGGAAGATGGTATCGTTTAAAAGATGATCTCTGCATGAGGCACCAATTCTTTTCAAGGGGTTTCGATTGTTTGCCGCAGCTTCAGCATTGTCCCAAAGGCCGTTCATAAATCTAAATCGAATTTAATGCACACAATTTCACGAATAAAAACCCCTTCCGGAAAGCGTGCTTTTCCCACATGCTTCCACAGAGGTCTGCTTACTCTGTCTCTCCAAGTCGTGGGCTGCGATAGTGGAAATGGGTCGCTTGGGGTCTCCGCTCCGATAGAGTTGTAAGGCGTCCAGTAATTCCGACTCCAGAGCGAACTCCGAGTCCCATTCGTAGTTTTCATCCACGGAAGTATTCCTCCTAGGAGAGACCCAATCGAAGGAAACTTAGATGGGCAACGAAAATGAAAATAGAGAGACGGGTTATCGCTTGGTGAGCCACTGTGCTTGAAGGCAGCAGACTCTGAGTTCCACTCCTGCTTTGGATACCAAGTTATCTAGGTGCCTTTGGGCCAGGAGACGGTGGGTTCTAGTCCCACCTTAGCCATGAAAGCCGGCTGGGGGAATTTGTGCCAATCACTAGGAGACTGGGAGTTCTAGTCCCACCTTAGGCATGAAACTCAACTGGGTGACTTTGGGCCAATCACCAGGAGACAGTGAGTTCTAGTCCTGTTTTACGCATCAAAGTCGCCTGAGTGACTTTGGGCCAATCACCAGGAGACGGTGAGTTCTAGTCCTGTCTTAGGCATCAAAGCCGCCTGTGTGACTTTGGGCCAATCACCAGGAGACGGTGAGTTTTAATCCCACCTTAGGCATGAAACTCAACTGGGTGACTTTGGACCAATCTCTCTTTGTCAAATTTAGGAAGGAGGAATGACAAACTTGAAAAAACTGGCCAAGAAAAACGGAGGGGACCTATTCAGGCAATTGCCAGAAGTCAAGACTAACTCAAATTCCTAATTTTGCAACTTTTTGTGGGGAGGGGGGCTGCAATTCATTGTTAAGCCAATTACCACATTTCCTGCAACATCACATTGCTCATAAGATTCCCCATTGACTTTGCTTGTCATTGCAAATGGCAAAATCATGTGATGCTGGGATGATGCAACTATCCTAAATACATTTTGGCTGCCAAACCACCAAATTTTGACTCACTTTGACTGTGAAGGTGCTGCCACCGTCATAAATGTGAGCCGGTTGCTAAGCACCCAGATTGCAATCACAAGAGTGGCGGGCGGGGGGGGGAGGAGAGGGGGAAACTACGACATTGCGATGGTTGTGAATGCAGGGATCAGACTAGGCCACGCTTTTTTCAATGTC